GGAATTCCAGCCAGAATTCTAAAAGGGAAAATGACTGAGGTTCTGATTATAAACATTGTTACTTTTTATATAAGAGACTAGTGGAAAGTGATAGAAAGCACTTAAATTAGAGTGCACGATCTTAGAACACTTTCCTGTAAGGGGGAAAAATGGCATACAACTAAAAATGAAATGACCACTCAAGAGCACAGACATAAAGAGACATGCTACAGATAAAAAGTGGTTACAATAGAAATGGCAAAAACATTTCAAATGATGGTTAAAGTACCTTACTCATCTTTATATTCCCCAACTATCATAATGTTTGGTGTTTAAGAGCTTTGAAATAAACAATGATTGAATTTAATGGCTTAGGTAATCACATAAGAAAGCATGGGGACTCTATAGAAGATCAAGTTTCCTGAGATAGGTAAAACATCTTGAGTTCTTAGCTCACCTACAAGATAACTTCATAATTATTAGTAACCGAGGAAAAGCTCTGAGAAAAGGGAGCAGTACTAAAACACCAAAGCATGGCCAATGTCACATAATTTCCTGTAATGTCAATCCCAGTCAAAACCCAAAAATGGATAATAAACACATATATATGTATATGTTCAGTAGTAATACATTTATATATACTTGTATACAAATAATACATTTACATATATATGTATATATAAGTATATATAAAATTATAAGCAATTCTAAAATGTAGTGATCCTTTAGAGACAGCACTAGTTCTCAAAATAATTCATGTGAAATTAATCCCATTACCTTTTTGACAGAGTTAACATGAAGGAAACCAATGCAAACTAAGCACCATCTATTCCTTCAACAGCAATCATTTGGTAAACAAACGTGCCAGGCACTGTGATAGGAGATTTACCTATACTGGTTCTCTATTTAACCAATATAAAAATCCAGTAAGTAAAAGGGTAGGGGTACCTCACTGGTTCATTCAATAAGCATGCGATTCTTGATCCCTGGATTTGAGCCTCATGCCGGGTGAACAGATTACTTAAAAATAAAATCTTAAAAAAAAAAAAAAATCCTGAGGGCGCCTGGGTGGCTCAGTGGGTTAAAGCCTCTGCCTTCAGCTCAGGTCATGATCCCAGGGTCCTGGGATCGAGCCCCACGTCAGGCTCTCTGCTTAGCAGGAAGTCTGCTTCCTCCTCTCTATCTCTCCACCTGCCTCTCTGCCTACGTGTGATCTCTGTCTGTCAAATAAACAAAATCTTTAAAAAAAAAATCCTGTAAGTAAAATCCTCTCATTTTATAGATCAAGAGCCAACTTACAAACATTAGAATAACCTGCCAAGATCATGATGGCTATGAAGTAGGAGCCAAAATGCAAAACCAAGTCTAACTTCAAAGTCCCGTCTCTTTTTTACCACATCGTATGGCCTCCTAATGCAGAAACACAGTTTATCTTGTCTTCTGCAAGCATCTGACAAAACATCTCATGATATCCCCTGTGGGCAAGACTGATGTAGCTAGGGCAAAAAAGCTAGGTTTATAAGGCGGAATAACCATTTTCATTAAAGGCTTTGTGTCCACTAGTTAGTAACCCATAGCAGTCAATTTTAAGCTGTTTTCTGATTTCATTATCATTAATATGTACAATATTCCATTGTTTCTCACTCAAGAAGACAGACTATGGCCGGTGCATAGTCTGAAAAAGCCCCACGCTAAGATTCTGCATATCTAAAGAAAAATACACCTCGGGTCATGCATCACGAGACAATAACGAGACCTGCTGCAGAGCTTTGTACTTGGCCCACTGTCTCCCTTTTTCAGTCTTTATTAACTCCTGATGAGAACAATGAAGACATTCTTAGCAAATTTTCAGGTGAAAAGTTAAAATGAGTAGCTCATCTGGACATTAAGGAACATACCTTCTTCTTCTTTGCATGCCAAGAACCCAATCAAGGTCACATTTCTTGAATTACAAAATCAAACTTAAAAGGACATCAACAGGCTTTAACCACTGGAGTAAATCTATCAAAGCCACTTTTAATGCGTCAAATATATTAGGGACAAAAAAACTTAACCATAAAATCAGACAAAAAAGAATTTGAGGGATGGAATGCCTTTCTTGGGGGTTAGGGATAAGCAAGACTAAGACAGCAAGCCCAATATTAATCAATGTAACAGCTGTCCACAAGCCCATAGAAACTCTTCTATTTCAGTGTTGTAAAAGGATTCTCAATAGGGAAGGTGATAGCCTGTCCTTTGCTCAGTTCAAACTACACTTGGAATCATTTCCACAGCTCAAAGTACCCCATTCTAAGGAAAGAGGACAATGATTAAATAATAAATGTCAAGAAAAGATATCAAAATAGTGAAATGATTTAAAATGATGTCAGAGGAGATTCCTTTAGGGGAACCAGAGCTATTTCCCAATAGACAAAATCAAGGGGTGTGATAGGGATCTTCAACTATCAGAAGGGATGTCCTGTGTGACCAAGATTCAGAGGACAGAACTGGGACTGGAAACTACAAGGGAACAAATTTTGGCTTTATACACAGAAAAACTTACTGGAAATTAAAACTGTCCAAAATGAAGTGAGCCATCTCAGGACATTGTGAGTTTTCTACTTTCTAGACCAGTTCATCTGCCTCTAAGAGATGAGACAAAAGTGGACAATCACTTGACTGAATTAAACAAAAGACTGAAACAGTGAACCATAAACTACTTTAGGTTCCTCTCAGTATTAAAAATCTTTGAAACAAGATTGCAAGAGAATATACTTTGCAAATCATAAAGTATGTTACAAAGATAGGTAAGAGGTAATTTTGTTGACAAAAAAAGAGGGACTCTTCATGTCTTCTGATCTGATCCATCATCTCCTCTCCATTTGGAAATTAAAAGCATACCAGGTTGTTTTATGGGTCACAGTTCTCTAAAAAAATTAAAATGAGATAAACTGATATATAAGATAAAGTAAATACAATGCTTCCATATATAGGTATGCAACAAAATCCTCAATTCTGTAATATAAACCAGACACTGTTTGTGATGACAGTCATATAAATATTAAAATCAGGACTGCTATGTTTTTTATAACGAAAATCTATCATAACTTCATCCTCTCCAGTGTAGGCTGCAGTAGTTTCTCTCTAATATTTAAAAATCTTTAGCCTGCTTTTAGCTTCAATGATGTCTTTGAAATGTATAATGAAGGTATAATTTTCAGGTTGTAGGACTAAATTATCTTAAAGAAGGAGGCACAATTACAATGATTTTCTCTTTTATCTTAGATCTCTAGCACAAAAGTAACCACGAAAGGGGGGGTTTACCAATATCCAGAGGCAGTGTGGTTTACTGGCTCAAAATCTTAAGTCAGATCTGCATTCAAATTTCAGCTTGGGCACCATGCAAGACTTGTGGCAATATGACTGCCAGCAAATTACTCAACTTAACCAAGCCTGTTTCCTTGCCTACAAAATGGGGCTAATAAAACTACTGACCTCATAGGCTGTTATAAAAATTAAATGACAGAGGAAAAAATGTTCAGCACAGTAAGAACTTACTAAATGTTAGCTATACTTTACCTAAATGAATTTCTAAGTTCCAAATAATCATAGGTATTTACCCTACAAATTTCCTTGATTTCACTAGCAACACTCAACAATAACAACTACTAAAATTGTGTAAATGTTCTTGTTCAAGGATGTAAGAAAAAAAGGAGTTTCCTCATATTCATTTTTTCAGGTATTATGCTTTACATAAGAGAAGTAAAAACAGGAATAAAAATAGAACATGGAATCAGAGCATCTTTGTGAATTCTAGACTCAGTAGTTTAATAATAGCATCAAATATCAAATGTCACAACAATTAAAGGAGATTATGTATTCTATTAAATAGTCACTAAGATCTATTGTGCAATTTGGGCCAGTAATAAAGATGGAGAGCTTCCAATAGACCAGGTCCTAAGTGATTTTATGTATACTTGTCCTGACAAACCTATGAGCTAGAAACTATCATTATGACCATTTCAACAGATAAAGAAAACCTAGGCACAGACAGGTTAATTAGCTTGCCCAAGATCACACAGCTAGTTAAAAAGATGGAGATGGATAGAAACCTCGACAATCAGGCTCAAAAGTCCATTCGACTTTACTACCTGTAACTAAATTGATGAAGTCAGATTAGCTGGATATTTTTCTTCTAACACGTGCAAACTGATTTCTTTGGGAGACAGAGGAGACTACACCTGCCTAAAAGGGCTGATTTCACTCCCAATCAATGACTACACTTTAACACTTTTCCAGCTAACCATAAGATAACTTCAGAAGAAAGCCGGCCCTACACTACAACCAAAGAAAACAAGTAGCAGCAGCAACTAAACTGTTAGTTTGGGGACCAACTGTTGGCTAGTAGTCACATGACGTTTCCATGTGCATGTGGATCGACCGACTTCACAGAATAACTGCCCCATAAGTCAGACTCACGCAGGCAGCAATGAAACTGTGTAACCCATAACCGGCAAGCGGTCATTTCAAAAATCCTCCACAAATGACTGTTTTGCCAATCAGCATGTTACTCGAAGACAGGACAAAATGGAACTTGCGTAAACACTTAGTCATCAGTAAGCGCTGAAGTTACAAATCACCTAGTTCGCAAAATCAAATCCGCAGCTAAGTTCCTAATTCCGAAAGAAAGAAAAAGGGCTGACAGCCGGTGACTGTAGGGTGAAGGCACCTAGGGCCCAAGCGGAAGTGAATCAAAAGCGAAAATTAGCCAAGCGATATGGGGGACTCCACGATATGCGCAGCCACACGGGGGACTTTTGAGGGACCTTCCACTCGCTTCCCAAAAGCCTGTCCTAATGTCTGTCTACAGGATGCCCGACCCCGCGTTTCCCTAGGGCGAATTCAGAAAGGCAATTCGAAGACGGAGGTGACAGGCCTGAGATCTGTAAGCCAAGATCCAGAAGACCACGGTAACAAAGTCCTCACAGTCCCGAAGGGGTAGGGGCCCCAAGGCTCCACCTTCCACTCCCTGGGGCCCGCACCTGCAGAGTGGTGATGTGCTTGTCGTTGAACTTGTTCTCGCAGTAGCGCAGCACCAGCGACGTCTTTCCCACGCAGCCTTCCCCCAGCAGTACCACCTTGAATGAGTAGGCTCTACCCGCCGCCGCCCCGCCGCCGCTGCCGGCCGCAGCCATCCCGTTTCCCGGCCGCCCGAGCCCTAGAGCTGCGCCGAGCACCCCACAGCCGCCGCAGCACCTTCACAACCGCGGCCGGCGCAGGCCCCTCCGCACCGACCCGCCAACCCCAGCCGCTGTCTCTACTCCCGCTTCGGGGCGAAGCCTGAGAGGACAGAGGAAAGTCCGAGAATGAAGGGCCCCCGCCACCACGTCAAACACCCGAGGAAAGGCGAAGAGCGCTCCCTCTCCGCCTCCCTCTAATGGCGTCTCCTTCCTCCTACGTCACACTTCGGGTCACGTGATCGCCGCGGTCGCGGGCGGCCCCTGGGACTCGGGCCTAGGAGAACGTGCCTGGACGTGGGTGGGGTTTCTGGGGCCTCTTCCCGGGGTGGAGTTGGCGGTGAGTGGAGTTCCTCCGCGCAGTCTCCGGCAGACCCTGGCTGTCTGCGGGTCATTGCTACTCTGCAGTTGGTGGAAACCTGCGCGATGAAGAAATGGATAATTTGAGGTAAACCCAGTTCTGGTGGAATGTGGAAGGGTAGAACGTTACGTTCTTGCCCAGGGAGTGTTCACCAGGCTAATGACCTCTCACAGCTCGGGGTCGCTGTAAGGCAAATCTGCCGAGGTGCACTTCGGAACCTTGAGATTTTCTGTGAGATCCCAAATCGTAACTATTGAACTTCCTTCAGTTCCCCAGACCGTCAGGTTTCCTCCTCATCTTTCAGTTCTCAGCCTGAACCAGAAAGGCTTGCCTGACCACGCATCCATCTTCTCTTTGTTCCTCCCTCACATCCCCTACCCTCAAGTAAAGTATTTCATGACGCAGGCATACATACCTTCCTTAGCAGCACTTCACGGAAGTTACTAGACCGAATACAGTCTCTTAGTACGCTATAGGTTTAAGGACAAGAACTGTGTAAGACTTGCCCGCCTTTGAATTTCTAAGTCCCAAGTTCCACGCACGGAATAGGCATTGAATGAATGAAAGAACAGTACATCTTAAGTCATTACGTCTTAGCTACCCTGTTTTTCTGTCTTCCGTGAAGCTTCTGATGTTCCTTGTCGATTCCACCTTGAGAGACCTGGTTTGTTTGATGATTGTTTATATTTCTTGATCTGCCTTTCCTTCTTTTATGAAATACACTCTTCCCAAAAACCTAGTGGTGTTTCTGAAATTTTACAACTAGAAATCTGGTGTCAGTCAAGCAAACATATTATTTTTCATCAGACTCCCTTTCCACTGCAAACCTGGAAGTTCATTCATTCATTCAGCTAATGTTTGAAAGTGCCCACCACGTGCCAGGCACGATACTGAACAACATACAATGTCCCTGTCATCAAGAGCTTACACTTTAGGAGCACCTGGCTGGCTCAGTTGGTAGAGAATGCAAGTCTTAATCTTGGGGTTGTGGGTTCAAGCCCCATGTTTGGTGTAAAGAGTGCTTAAAAATAAAATCTTTAAAAAAAAAAAAGAGCTTACATTTTAGCAGGGGAAGACAGTCATTTACACAATGAATGCTTTTATCTTGATAAAGCAGTTCAGAGTATTTTGCAAAGCTGTATTGGGACCCAACTGGTTTTGCATGCCAGGGAAGCTGTCCCAGAGATTGTTGCCTTTGGTTAGGAGTAACCTAGGCAGGAAGGGAGGAGAGGTTTGCAAGAAAAGAGAACAGTATGTCCAACAGCCTTGACATAGGAAGGAACATCGAAGGTTGAGCAACTCAAACTGTGATAAGAATGCAGAGAGGAAAAGAGTTCTAAATGAGACTGGCAAGGAAGACAGGGACCAATACTGAAAGGGCCTTTCAGCAAATGAAGAGTTTTAATTAAGGGGTGGACATAATCAGATTTAACTTTTAAAGAAAATTACTCTGCCTATAATTTGAAAAACGGATTGGAGGAGGATAACACTGTAATCTGATATGCTCTCCTTTGGGGGCTAGAACTGTGTCTGTCACTTTTTTTTTTTTATCTAGACCTTGGAATGTAATGCCTAACTAACATTTATTAATTACAACAAGTAAATAAATAAAGCTAAACCTATAAAGTACTGAGGTTTGAGAAATCCTCTTGGACATGTGGGACTTCATTAAATAGAACTATCAAAGCATTTTCCATCTACTAAGACTAATTAACAATAGAAAGAAAATAGTTATCATCTGTGAGCTTGCTACAAACTAAACCCATTTGTGAGTGCTTGGGTGACTCATTTGGTTAAGCGTGAAACTCTTGATTTGGGCTCAGATTATGATCTCAGGGTGGTGAGATTGAGCCCACTGTTGGGCTCCATGCTCAGCAGGGTATCTGCTTGAGATTCTCTCCCTCTCCCTCTGACCCCTCCCTCCCTTGCACTCTCTCAAATAAATGAATCTTAAAACACACACACACACACACACACACACACACACTAAACCCATTTGTTCCTTTATTTGCTCATTCAGCAACCTTTGTGGAGTGCCAGGCAAAATGTCTCTGCTTCATGGGGCTTGTATTTTAGTGTGAGAGGCAACACAGAAACAATTACACATTATTGTGTAGTGGCCGTGTTTGATGCCAACCTGGCATCCACACATCCTTCTGCTTTCAACCAGAATCTGGTCCTTGCTAAGGTATCCACTAGTCGCATGCATCTCATGTGCCCCTGGCTTCAAGGGGCCTCTTTCTCTGTGGTTCTTTCCAGCTTTTAGAGGCAACCACGCATCTGAAACAACAATTCAGATGCTTCTGGCTGTTGAACATTACTGAGTTGTAATTGTAAGCACCGGCCACAAAGGGGCACAAGCAGCTCAATGAAATTTACCAGGTTGGCCACTGTACACTCAACACTAACTCAGAAGTGCCTCCACATGGAAAAAAAAAAAAGGAAACCATTGGGAGATTTTCTTCCAAGTTATAGAAAACAAGAATATTCCAAAAGATGTGTGGTCCAACGGAAGGGAGGAAAGGATCATTTCCAAGCTATTTGTCCCTCAGATGACAATATTAATTAAAAGTATCTCCAAAAATATAATGTCTCAAGAAACTTTACATGTTTTTGTCAAAGAAGGAATTTAAGGGGACGCCTGGATGGCTCAGTGGGTTAAGCCTCTGCCCTCGGCTCAGGTCATGATCTCAGCATCCTAGAATCAAGCCCCACATTGGGCTTTCTGCTCAGCAAGGAGCCTGCTTCCCTCTCTCTCTGCCTGCCTCTCTGCCTGTTTGTGATCTCTCTCTGTCAAATAAATAAATAAAATCTTAAAAAAAAAAAAAGAAGAAGAAGAAGAAGGAATTTAAGCCAAACTTTGAGATTCGCAGAACTTACCAATTTCTACTAAAAATGTATGATCTCAACAGTTAAAAAGTGAGGACAGGAAGCCACTTTGTTTACTTGTGATGTGTATTATATTTATACTTATAAATTGTATTTTGAGATAACCAGAGCATGAGTCAGGCCAGTATGCTAGCTTCTAAAACTAGATGTCAGAAGTTGTACGGAGCTGGAAATTCTAGAGACTTGTCCACTTAAACTAGGCCTGAATGGCTATACTTTTCCATTTTCTTGAGAAATAAATCAGTAGAGTGATGGAAAAGACTCTTTTTTTTTTAAGATTTTATTTATTTATTTGACAGACAGAGATCATAAGTAGGCAGAGAGGCAGGCAGAGAGAGAGAGAGAGGAGGAAGCAGGCTCCCTGCAGAACAGAGAGCCCGATGTGGGGCTCCATCCCAGGACACTGGGATCATGACCTGAGCCAAAGGCAGAGGCTTTAACCCACTGAGCCACCCAGGTGCCCGGTGGAAAAGACTCTTAACAGATAAATCGTTTTGTTCTGGTGAAATAATTTGGTTGAGAACTCTTATGGGACATAAGATTTATGATTTTAGAGAGCTTTTTGATAGCTGTGGATGCTCCTATGGGAAGTTTGTAAGAACATATATACTGAGAATTATAGCATTTCCAGTATCACTTGCTTAAGTGTTTTCTCCCATTGGTCACTCACTCCTGCTTGGTAAGGTGTCATTTTAAATCTTACCATTCCTCTATACAACTTTCTAAGTACTTCCTACATGTATCATTAAATATTATAATGACATATTTATTTATCAGTATTAAAGCTGTCAGCCGTAAGGTAGTAAAGAACTGTCTGCCTTGCTTACCATTCGTTATATCCTGTGTCCAGAATAATGCCTAGAATGTGGTAGTTATAAAATAAATGACCAACCCTCCAAATACCAGCTCTCTTATGCCTTCATTTTCAATAAATCTCTTTTTTTCTTTTGTACAAACGTCTAATTCTTTGAACCTCCATCCATGGTTGACTCCCCAACCCCATTTGTATAAGTGACCGTCCCTTAAATCATTTAGACTAAATTCCAGTCTTGTGTATAAAGAGTGAAACTCCATGAGGCTGGTCAAAGAACAGCTGCTGAAAAAAGAATATTTACCCCCATCCTGAGTCCATCTATCAGCCCTATCTTGGTCTCTCCATTCCCCCTACTCCTAGCTCTCTCAAATCCCTACCTTCCAAAACCACCAGCTTTGGACTCCGTATTGAGGATCTAAACTCTTCTTTTACCACCATCCATTATTGTCTTATATCCTTATATTTCCACAGCATCATCACACAACACCAACCTTCAAGTAAACTTCTGGAAAAATTCTCTGAGCCACCTAGATTTTGTGCAAGTTCATAGTAGTCAACTTCATTCTTGGGACTACCTATCAGTTCCTTTTCTTTTCTGCCTTCAGCTTCCACCTATACCTTTTTATCACTATTAACAAACTTGCCCCAGTCTACTTCTGGTTCTAGTTTGAGTTTTTCATAGTATTTCCTTATTAGTCTTTAATGTGTGTAGGTCTTTACGAATCTTCCTTTTATTCCTCATAATGGTTATTATGTATTCTCTTCTTCCCTTGACCAGTATTCCTAGAGATTTATCAATTTTATTCTTTTTTTTTCTAAGAATCAGCTTTGGTTGATTTTTCTCAATTATTTTTTCAGTTCTCAATTTCATTGATTTCTACTCTTTATTATTTCCTGCCTTGTACTTGTTTGGGTTTAATTTGTTCTTCAGTTTCTTAATGTAGAAGTTTAGATTACCGATTTGAGATCTTTATTCTTTGCTATTATAAGTATTTAAATAGCTAATAGCTGCATCCACAAAATTTTAACACAATGTATTTAGTGATATATGTATATAGTGAAAATACATTGAAAAAAGAAAACCACATATATATAAGGTTTTCTTTTTTTCCCCTTGAGACTTCCTCTTCTTTGACCCAGTGGTCATGGTGGAAGGCAGGATG